TTTAAACTTATAGGTGATGGAATTTTCTGTTGTGTACCCTTAAAAATAGGACTAACCTCTGGGAGGCTGTAGATTCAGTGACATGCAGGTTTTTGTCTTCAGTAGGTTTATTTAAATGGTAGCTTCTGGGCCAGCCAAATAGCTCAGCGGTTTAAAGCACCTGCTAGCAGGTGCAGGGGCCTGGGGGTTCAATCCCCCCCCCATGCTGGCCCTGCCTCCAGGGCACACTGAGATGGTGATTGAGACTGGGCGTGGTGGCATGCGTCTGTAATCCCAGCACTTGGGAGGCTGTAAACAGGAGAATCACTATGAGTCAGATGTAATAGTGAGACCCTGAACACCCTGTAGACCTTTCAGATAGATAAATAAATAAATAAATAAATAAATAAATAAATGGCAGCTTCTGAAGTTTTGTTTTGTTTTGTTTTTGGCAGAACCGGGGTTTGAACTCAGGCCCTTGTACTTGCCAGGCAAGTACTTATTTTGCTGAGCCATTTCCCGGCCCCAAAATGGTAGAAGGGTTTTTTTTTGTTTTGTTTGGAGGCTCGAAATGGCTTTAGGGCATTTCTGGTTTGCAGTGACTGTCTGGGTTGGAACCCCAGAAGCTTGAGCTGGAGGGCTTTGTTTAAACAGGCACTTAAACAACTGAGCTACTGGGCAGGTCCCCTCTGAAGTTTTTAATGTTAGAAGCTGTCTGAAATTTCATAGATACTGCTACTGTCCAGTCTCTGCTTCAGCTCTCATATCTACTGGGTCCTAGATATGGATGAGCATCAGAGTCATCTGAAAAATTTATAATGAACATGACAAGGAGGAGCCTTCATTGTCATTTTTCCTACACCCTTACACTTTCTGTTTGAAGGTGGGGGCTGGGCATGTCCTTGTCATGATACCCTCTTGCAAATGCCTAGGGACTTTTATCTAAGCTACCTGTTACAAATATAGTGTAGCACCTTAAGTTGGCCCAGTAAAAATAAATATTAAATAAACCATAGATTTCTCATGTACTAGTACAAATCAATTTGAAAATAAACATCTAATTTGTAGTAGTAAAAATCCAAGGAATTGACAAGAAATATGTGTAAATTATGTACAGACTGTTGCTAATGTCCTGAGAATTACAGGGCAACTACTTTACTTCCCTGATGGGAAGATTTGCTATCATAAAGTTGAACTTTTCTAAATCCTTAGTTTAAAAATCATCTTAATTAAAATGGTAGTTTTGGGGCCGGGGAGATGGCTCAGTGGAATAAGTGCTTCCCTGGCAAGCACAGGGGCCTGAGTTCAATCCCCAGTTCCTCAAAAAATAAAATAAAATAAAATGGTAATTTTGAGTTTGTTCATCTGCTAGAACAAATACATATCTGATTCAGAGAAAATCTTGAGCTCACTGATAATATGGTAAGACCTGGTATATGTTACAGTAAAATGTAACATGTTAGGTCATATGTATATCTGTGTATGAATTTATGGTGAAGATAACATGATACATTTCCCTACTGAATATTTTGGGAAAATATTCATCTGCCTCATATTTTAAACACACATAAGTACCTAGATGTGAAAAAGTGAAGCCAATCCTACAAAAAGAGAATTTAATCTTAGAGTTAAGGCTAAATAGAGGAAAAGTTATTTTGACTAGAATATAGTTTAAAATGTTAAAGTCCATCTCAGACAAAATAAAAACATAAGATAAACTTGGGAACATATTAATAACATGTAAATCAAAAGTTTTAATAGCTAGGGGCTAGGGAGATAGCTCAGCAGTCTAAGTGCCTGCCAGGGAAGTGCAAGGACCTGGGTTTAATCCCCAGTACCACATGCTGTGTGGGCCCCACACTGTGCCATTCATTGAAACCCAGAGTGGTGGGGCACACCTGTAATCCCACTGCTGGGTAGGCTGAGAAAGGAGGATCACTCAAACTCGAGCTGCATAGTGAGACCCTGTACAAAATACATAAATAAAGATGGAAAAAATAACAACAAAAAACAGCAGACTAAAGCACCTGCTTAGGCAGAGCACAGGAACCGGGCTTGGATCCCTGATACCACAAGTCATGCCAGCCCCTCCCTTGCTGAGACATTGGGACTAGGTGTGGTGGCATGTGCCTATAATCCCAGGGTTTTGGGAGGCTGAAAACAGGAGAATCACTACGAGTCCGAGCTGCTGCATAGTGAGACCCTGTACTAAATATATAAAGTTTTAATAGCCTGTAGCAATTAGAAATCATTAAGAAAAGAGCTATCACTCTAACAGGTAAAATAGGCAAAGAACACGAGTAGGTAGTCTGGAGAGGATCTGATTAGACCAGAAGTGGTACTTTGTCTCAAAAAAGAAAAGAAAAGCCAGTCACCAGAATAGCTGCTACTAAGTCATGTTTCCTCTGGGAGAATTGAAACCTTATTCCCCAGAGTAATGGATTTTTTTAAAAAATATTTTATTTTTTTTATTTTTTTAAACTGGGGATTGAACTCAAGTGCTTGTGCTTGTGAGGCAAGCGCTTACAGAGTAGTGGTATTTGAATGTGGGGACCCTGGCCCAGGAATTACCGATGGTCAAAATAGTAAGTAAAATCATGCAAGGTACAGTAATTGTACTGTGTGTTCTGGAAGCTAGAGAAAGAAATAAATAAATTTGACATAGACAAGATATAAGAAAAGCTGGTACTGGACTAATGTATGGATGACAGCAGGTCTCTGAGACCCTTTCCTGCCTGAAGTTAGAGGAGTACCCTCTGTAAGGGAGGGAGAGGGAAACCCAGGAAACTCTGGGCTTCAGTGGTGAATACTAGGTGTACATAAGCAGAAGTGCTGTGTAGGACAAGTAACCATTACCTAAAGTAATGTATGTATGTATGTATGTATGTATGTATGTATTTTAAGGAAGAAAAGGTTCAGTTAGCTCCTAGTTTGGAGGCTTTGATCTATACTCAGCTGGCTCTAAGGCCAGGTGGCACATGGCAGAGTTCAAGGTGTAAAACAGCAAGAGCAAAAAGGGAGGAGCAGTAGCCTCTGAACGTATTTTGAAAAGTATTTCAGGCAGATGGAAAACTGATGCCAGTTGGAGATACATGTCTACATGAAAGTTAAAGAACAGTGGAAATGGTGACTAAACTGTAAATATATGGTCTATATAAACACCTCCCCCTTAATTTTAATTTCTCTAAGGAGGCTACATTTTCAAGGACATAATTTAGGTTTTCAAAGATCAGTTTGTTTAAAACAAAAATATATTTTTGGAATATATAATATGTAGGTAAAATGTACGATGAGGAACAGAAATCAAAGTATACTTATAAGAATGCTTCTCTACCCCACGAAAAGTGGTAGTCAGCCTTGATCCCTAGATCCTGTGTTACCTGATAGGGAAGGAGCTCTTGCTGGTGTTCTTAGATTAAGGATTTGGGAATGGGAAGACTACATGGGATTCCCCAAGGGGGCCGTAGATGAAGTCATGCAGAGCCTGTGAGACGCTGGAGCTGGGAGATGGTTGGAGGTAGGAGTAAGTGGTGCAAGCCACAGAGCGTGGGCTGCAGCCCCAGCGGGGGAGGCAAGCAGTGCTCCTTCCTGGAGCCCATGGGGGGCGCACAGCCCTTGCTGCGCCTCGAGTGCTGCTCCGGGGTCCTGATCTGGGGCTGGCCTCCAGGACTGAAAGGATACGTTTTTATTGCAAGACACTCAGGTTGTGTTTTAAACAAACTCAGTTTGCTGTAATTTGTTAGAGTGGCCATAGGAAACTTCTTTCTTATTGGTGAAGTAGTATATTTACTTAGGTATACTGTGATAAAGTTATATACTATGAACAGTAAAGCAGCTACTAAAAGTGCAAGGAAAATTTATTGCTTATAAACCAAGAAAAGGGAAATAAAACAGTATCATAAAAATAATCCAGAATAAGCCAGAACTAGGGAAAAGGGAAAGAACATAAGAGACAAACAAAAAACGGTCCAATGATAGATCTAAACCAACTTACAGTAATAATGTATTAAATGTGAAAGGCAAAGATTTTTCAGGTTCAGCTAAGTCATGCCCAGTCAGTGTATGTAGCCCACATGAAGCTCGTTTTAGGTAGAAATGCATAAATAAGCTGAAAGTTAAAGCATAGAAGGAGGATCACACTGTAGCTGTCAGGCGGAAGCTGGAGTGGCTGTACTAATCGCAGACAAAGTGGATCTCATAGCCAAGGGTGCTACCTGAGATAGAATGGCTGTTTCCTAATGAAGGGACTCAGTTTTCAAGTGGGTATAATAATCCCAAGTGTTTATGTCCCAACTGCAGAGCTTGAAAAATATTTGAAGAACTACATGTACTAATTCCCCACGATGAATGCATGTGTGAACACATACTGTGAGTGTGCAGAGTCAGCAGTGAAATACTGTGCTTTGGATCGTATTGAGAGCACGGGTAGGAAGGAGCACAGGAGCTGCAGTGTCAGACTGGTTTTTAAAGCTCTGAAGTCTTTTCTCAAGAGCTAGCTTGGATTTAAACAGCAGTCTTGTTAAAGTTGTTAAGTTAAAAGTGTGAAAAAGGAGATTTGTTTTGCAAATCTAATATCTTTGTTCCCTATTTTAGAATAGTTTTAAATTTATAGAAAACCTCTGAAAGTATAAAAAGTTGACCTATATCCCATGTCATTACCCCTATTAAGTAGTGTCTTACATTACTGTGGTCCATTTTTCATAATTAATGAATTAGTATTAACTATTAACTAAAATTGAGCTTTATTTAGAACATTTTTTTGAGACAGATTTCACCATATAGTTCGAACTGGGCTTGACCTGTGTTGCCGAGGCTGGTCTTGAACTTGTGGCAATTCTCCAGCCTCAGCCTCCTGAGTGTTGGGATTACAGATGTGCACCATCACAGCCGGATAGATTTCTTTCATTTTTACCAAGGTCCTTTGTTTCAGAATATCATCCAGGATACTGTACACCTCATTAGTTTCTTGTCATGTCTCCTCAGGCTTTTGTGAGTGGTGACAGTGTTCTGTTCTTTCTTAGAAATTCTCCAGAATTTCAGAAGCTCCTGGGCATCGCCATGGAACTTTTCCTGCTGTGCAGTGATGACGCAGAGTCAGATGTCAGGATGGTGGCTGACGAATGCCTCAACAAAGTTATCAAAGTAAGAACCTGTGGGCACTGCCCACTTCTGAGTTTTTGTCTTTGCAAATGGGGTGGAGCTGACTCCAGCCTGCGTTCTTGTATTTGGAGTGGCATGGCTGGAGGCTGCCTGCAGCCCTCCATCTCAGGTGTGTAATTAGACACCCAGGTACCAGCCAGTGGGAAGGAGCTGTTTCCCTGGTGACTACAGTGTGGGAGTCAGAGAGGAGCTCTGAGGTGGCCGCTGGCTGCTCCCAGGAGAAGTGTACTGCTCTGTTGGGCAGTCTGGCAAGCCCCAGAGCCTTGGAAATGAGTAGAGTGGGAGTGAAGCCTGGCTTTGGTGTCTAGAGTGCTCTCCTCCTGTCTCTTTCCCCTGTCCTTTGGGAAAAGGGTCAGGCATTTCTGCTTGCAAGTAAAGGTATGGCTTCTCAAGTGACTGGGTTAGCTGGAAGCAGTATGACAAGAGTTAGGGCAAGGAGAGCCCAGCACAAGGTGACGAAGGCAGGATAGCACTGTCACTGGGTAGCTGCGCTGGGAGAGAGAGGGCAGAGCACCGGGCTCATTCTGTCCTCATGTCTCTTCAGTCTGCTCCTCACCATGGCTCTTATCTGCTGTTCCTTTTTTTCTGTTTTCCCCTGCTGCTGAAGATTAAAGTCCTTCTTCCACGCACTGATTCTTAATGTGTTGCAGAACTTTCCTTGTTTTTATCGTTCTGCCCTTGTCTTGTGTGAGTGCCTGTTCTGGCCCACTGATTTGGTTGCACCTTGAGTTTGTGAATTTGCCTTTTGAATTGAGCCCAGAATCATATGTTGCTCCTCTGTAGGCCGATGGGCACTGATGAAGGCTCTGTGGTCTAGTTCCTGACACTTTCTCTAAAACCTGCTTCTTGTTGATAGTTAAGAAGAAGTTAGATTTCTTGTTCTCCTCTCTGCAGGGATCCTTGTTTATCCGACCTTTGAAGTGTTTCCTTTTTTTCCCTTACTACTGTACTTCCAGTCCCAGCCCTGAAATTTAGATAAGGCTTTGAGAAAAGGCATCATTTTATCCTTTCCTTGAAGGTTGTCTTCGTAGTTATACTCACTTGTTTGGGTGAACCAAGAATTCCAGCCCCTAAGGGTTAGATTGACTATTTCACTTCCCCATTAGTCTTAGGACAGAGCTGTCCTATGGTCTCTTGCCGAAGCATTGTTTTGCAGAGTGTCAGATCTTACTTAGGCCAAGCAGTCCTTGGCCTAAGGGTCCAACCTCCTCATGAAGAGAGTCACCCTGTTGCTCCTGTGACTGAGGAAATCATTTCTTTATTGCTGGGACAGAGAAACTGGTATATATAATTTAAAGGAGAAAAAGGATGTAATGGCTCACAGTTAAACAGGGCTCTGCCCATGGTCAGCTGGTTCCCAGGCAGAGCTCCCTGGTGGAAGGATGTGGTGGAGCAAAGCTGTTTAGTTCCCAGTGGCCACAGAGCAACCAGAGAGGAAAGTGCCCCCAAGGTCACATCTGCCTATCCCACCCAGACACACCTAGAAGTGTTTCTTAATTCAGCCAAGTTGCCAATCCCAATTAAAGGTTATAAGAATCATTGATAATAAAAAAAAAAAATCATTGATAAGCAAAATGAATAGAGATCTGTACTTGTCACCTGAACACATTTGGAAATGTACTAAATTTCTGTGAGACTCAATTTTCTTAAAGACTATGAAATGGGACCATTTTGTTGTGCATATATGTTTGTGTGGGCATTGCCACATCCTAGGTCCTCAGGGAGTAAGAAATGTTGGTAATACAGTTTGTATCTTCTTGCTTAGTGAGAGGAAGGGGGCCGGTGTGAGTGCACTAGCTGCTTTCTGTTTTCTGTTACATGTGTTCAAAGAGTTCTGTTGTGCAGGGGATCTTTCCTGCCTGCCTGACAGATAGCCTCGGGACCACTGTATTTCCAGGGGTCAGCACTTCTCTAGCCCCAGTGTGCTGCTCCCTCTACCCTCTCCGGGGCACTCATCATGCCTTCCCTGCAACTGAACTTTGTGCCCGTGCTTGCCTGCTGCCTCCCATGGTAGCTTGATGGTAGCTTGATGGCACCTGCTCATTGTGCCTGGAGCACTGATGACTGCTACACAGAGTCATCCCACAGTGTGTTTGCAGATAGCCTGTTTCACTTCTCCCTGCTTCTCCAGTCCTGGATACTCTTGCTTTTTTTTATTTGCACTGGTAGGACCAGACTGGGCTTTCTCTGGTATTTCAGTCCTTCCTCCTTCCCTCCCTTGTGGATCAAACCCAAGGCCTCAAGCATGGTTAAGCCTACACTTTTCCATTGATCCACACCCCAGCCTGACACGGAGGTCAGCATGGATTGCCTTGTGCATGCCAAATGAGGGGTGAGGAGAGACAGATGGAGCAGTGAGACCCTAGACCCTCTGATACTGATCATTTTGCATTTGAAGCCTTCCTTCCCCAGACTTTCCCAGGATTGCTGGCCAGTGGTTGGCAATGTTTGGAGACCAGACACTATGGCTGTAGGTTGCAGCGGTTAGCCCAGGTTCTCTTGCTGTCCCTCTCTCTGCTTTGCTGTTTCCTCTATTTCTAGGCTACAAAAGCAAAAATGCCAACTTCTCATAGTATACATGTGAACCTCTCTTTTTTTTTCTCTTCCACTTATAGTTGGCATAAGGATGTTTGCTGTGCTCAGATTTGTGCCTCCTAAAGCTGTTGTCAGGTTCAGTGGTGGGGAGTAGTATCAGGGTGAGGCTAGGTTTGTCCTCCTAGTGGCAGTGGAACGGCAGGCTGGGATTTGAGTGCTCCCTCATCCTTGGCTGTGCGGTCTTCTCATGGGTCTACTCAGCTGGAGTCATCTGGGGACCTTAGTGAAGATGGGAGATTTTCTAGGAGAGCTTTAGAGTTAATTTTAATTTTGATGTTATATAGCATTTGCCATGAAAGGTAAATTCTTTGTCCTTCATTGTTTTCTTCAGGAGAGCAATCTCTAGTGTGTTCAGTAACTTCTGCGCACATTTATTTGCCTTTCTATTAATGAACAGTTGCCTAACTTAGTTGCAGTTATGTTTTAATTTGCCTCAAATTGAAATTTTGGTTGCTTTTAATTTTCTTCAGGACCCTGAAAAGAATATATTGTCCCTAAACAAATGTCTTGCCTTCCCTGTAGGCGTTGATGGATTCCAACCTTCCAAGGCTCCAGTTAGAGCTCTACAAGGAAATCAAGAAGGTGAGCCTTCACTTTCCATTGCATTGGAGTGAGCGGTAGTGAGCGGTATGTGTGAGACGGTGTCTCTTAGTTACAAAGTGGAACTGTGAGAAGGAAGTGCTGTTTGGTAATGTGAACCTAACTGATTTCCTTCCTCCAAGAGGCTTTCGTTAGGTAAGATTGAAGTTTAAAAGGGCAACTTAAGTTTTTATAACTTTATAATTGAAACTCACCAGCCCTTTAAAATCTCTGAAAGTAGTTCCCAGATGTTTTATATATTTAACTGGCTTTTTCACTAAAAGCAGAAAATAAGAGTAAGAAAATATTTTTAAAAATAGGAATAAACAGTTACATATTTTTACACAGAAATTTAGAAGTCTAACCATATACAGCATTGTAGCAGGACAGTTCTGTGACTTTTTTTTTTCTTGTCTCTTGCTTTCATTATCCTTTTTTTTTTTTTAAACAAACATTTACTTGAGAGACAGTACTATATTGGAATATTTTGCTGAATTCACGCACCTACCCTTCTCTGACAAAACTGAACAAAAAAAGGGGATACAAATGAACGACCATTTTGTGTCTATATATTCAAAATTGCATAGATATACAGCTGCATTCTCTTAATTCAGTGAATAGGGAGATTTGTTGTAATAGTGTTTGTGGACAGGATATCATGTCTGCATCTTGTACAATGAATAACCACTAAGACAACAGTTATGCAATGTATTAATTATTAAAACTGTGCTAGTAATTGTTTTTGAAACTGTCTCATTGCTATTTGTTTCTCTTTTTAATAATTTTAAAATTATTAAAAAAAAGAAAACCAAACCAAAACAAAAAAACAAACAAGCAAAAACCCAAGCCAAAGCACCAGATTCCCCTTGACTAATTTCTATGAAGGTAAGTAGCAGACATTCATAGGTTTACACACTGAGATTCCCATCAGTTAATGATATTTATGTTCAATAAAATACACAAATTGCAAGTGTAAAACAATACAAAACAGAGACTCTCTTATTCTTGTGAAACCTCTTGGCGATGACCACGCGTGCTCTTAACGGGACACTGCTGATTTCCCTCCCTCAGAATGGCGCCCCTCGAAGTCTGCGTGCTGCCCTGTGGAGGTTTGCTGAGCTGGCTCACCTGGTGCGGCCTCAGAAGTGCAGGTAAGTTGTCCCTCTGGGCTGTTTCATTGTTAAATTTGCTGGCCACTTCTGGTGAGCCTTTCCCTCTCAGCTCGTGTCCCTTCTTCAGTCTTCCCATCCTTCTGCCTGATGTCAGCTGCCTCTGCCCCTCCACACGTGCACTTAACATTGTCTGCTTATGTTTTCTTTCTAGTGCTTGCCCTATCAGGTATTCTCGTACACTTCATTAGTGTGCTTGTTTGTCTTTTGTCCCATCATCCTGCGAGAGACTTATGGGATGTGGATCCCAGAGCAGCAGGAGCCTTGGGGTCTTACTCTTTGCTGCAGCCCCAACGGATGAGTAGTTTTATTACCACCAGTTATAGGAATTATAGGAAAACAGGCATTTATTATATTGGTTGAAAAGATGAATGCTGAACTATGCATAAAGTTTTGAGTATTTGAAACAGATCATAGTGGATTTAAAAATTAATGTGGGACTGTAGTTTTCACCTGCTTGTTCCTTCTCTCCAACCAGCACAGTATGCCCATCTCCCAGAGACCCTCAGCTCTCTCCCTGAGTGAGAAGCAGGTAGATAGAGGGGCTTAACCCCTCACTTTTCACGCGTGATGATGTATCCCACTGAGGTCGAGTTCAAATAGTGTCTTTTATGGTTGTAGGGATACAACCACTAAGGAAATTTCTTTTTATAAACTCTTTCTTTCCTTTTACTATTTTTATATTTATTCATGAATGTACATGTTGAGAGTTGAACACAGGGCCTCAGTTACTTTCCCAACCCAGCTATCCTTATTTTGAAAAATTTGTTGGATTCCTGAAGCAACACAGCCCAAGTTTACCCCATAACAGCTGAAGTGACCTTATGTAACACAATTGTCTTGACATTCTGTTACTTAGCATCTCTTATTCATTCCCTGGTGGAATTCAGATGCAGTCCAGGCCCTTCACTCAGGCCCCCTGGCCTTGTCACTGCAGACACAGTGGGTTTCTCAAACAAGTCTGGTGTCTCTTCCTCCAGTGGCTGGCACACACTTCCCTTGAAATCTCACCCAAAAAGCCCCTCCTTTGAGAGGTCTCTGGCCTCTCTGTCTCATGTATTCACAGCTGGCTCTGGGCTTTGTGTCAGGAAGTCATCTGTGACTGGGAGGGGTACTGAACAGTTGAACTCATCTGTGTCTAGTCCTCCTGGTCTTTTAACTGAGCACTGTCATTCTGCTTTCAGGGCTGTCATACCTTTGCACCTGGCTTTCCCCTCTGAGCAAGCCATTGCTTATATGCTTGCTAGAGGGCCTGCAAAATGCAAGTGTTCTTTTGCACATGGGCCTTACCTGGTGAACCTTCTGCCATTAACAAGTGTTCTTTTGTACATAGGCCTTACCTGGTGAACCTTCTGCCATGCCTGACTCGAACAAGTAAGAGACCTGAGGAATCTGTCCAGGAGACCTTGGCTGCAGCTGTTCCCAAAATTATGGCTTCTTTCGGCAACTTTGCAAATGACAATGAAATTAAGGTATGATTGTTGTCTCTGGTCACAGCTGTGCATGAGTCTCAAGGGCTGCAGTCCCTTGAGAGTGCTTTTGACGGTGTTGTTTTGTAATTTAGACCCCCATCATCTGTATCTCTTTTCTTTTTTTTTTTTTTTTTTTTGTGGAACCGGGGATTGAACTCAGGCCCTTGTGCTTATTACCAGGGAAGCGCTTATTCTACTGAGCCATCTCCCCGGCCCCATTCTCTCTCTTTTTTTTTTTCTTTTAAGAACTGTGAATTTTTATTTTTTTTTTTTTCCAGAACCGGGGATTGAACTCAGGTCCTTGCGCTTGCCAGGGAAGCACTTATTCCACTGAGCCATCTCCCCGGCCCCAAAATGGAATAAGGATTTTTTGTTGTTGTTGTTCCTCGAATGCCTTCAGGGCGCTTTTGGCCAGCGGGAGAGTTGTGAGGTTTGAACTCCAGCAACCTGAGGCTGACAGCTTTGTGGAAGCAGCCACTTAAAGGACTGAGCTAGGGCCAGGCCCCCCATCTGTATCTCTTGAGCAGTTTTTTTCCAGTTCTGCCTTCCTGTCACTGGGAAATGAGTTCAGTAGTGAATGGTTTACAGATTCTGATTCAGACGGTACTGTTCTAGAGCAGATTGTCTTTGGTGTATGGGACTGGCCCTTTCACATAGCTGAGAAGGGAACCTCAGGTAGGAGAGCTCATGGGGGGCCAGCCAAAGAGCTTAGCAGATTAAAACACCTGCAAGCAGGCACAGGGGCCAGGGGTTCAATCCCTGGGCCTACCATGTCAGCCCTGTTCCTCCCCATCCCAGGTGTGCTGAGTCGGCGATTGAGACTGGGTGTGGTAGTGCCTGCCTGTAATTCCAGCTCTTGGGAGGCTGTAAACAGGTGGATCACTACAGTCTGATCTAGTACTGAGACCCTGAACACCCTATAGACCCTTCCCTAAAATACGAAAAACGAAACAAACAAAAAAACCCTACAAAGACAATATGCAGAGTGTCTCCAACTAGAAATGATCAATGAATTCAAACAGCAGGGAAGTGAGGCAATGGCAATTATGGTATGTAAAAAAGGCGGTTGCTTAAGTGTTTTGCCCTGGGAGTGTTTGTAAAACATTTGTTCATATTGTTTTGACTACCCTTATGTTTTTACTGAAGGCCAATAAATGTAGAGTTGTTTTTATTAAAAAAGACAATATGCAATTAATTATTATAACTGTCCTACAAATTGGCCTTGAACTGGTGATCTTTTGTCTCAGTCTCATGAGTAGCTGAGATTATGGGCATGTGTCACTGCATCTGGTGAAAGATGGGGTTTTTTTTGGTGGTGTGGGGGATTGAACCCAAAGTCTCTGAACTGAGCTGTATCCCCAGCCCTCTTTAAAATTTTGAGATAGAGTCTTGCTAGCCTCTAAGTTGCCCAGGCTAGTCTTGGACTTGTGATTCCCCTGCAAATGGTTTTTTGTAGTTTTAGTTCTGGTCATTACTGTTTTGTTTTGTTTTGTTTTTTGTATAGAGTAGCCACTAATTATCCTTTCAGAACTTTTGGTATTTCTTCCCTTTTGTGTTTATATTTATTGGCTTCTCTGTCCTTTTCTGTTTATTCACATTTATTATTGTAAAATGTAGGAGCATTATAAACAAAGATAGTAACCTTTTTCCGTTTCTCCTGATCCTTATCTCATGGGCATTCACAACTCTTAATATTTCACATTTCTGAAGAACATGCTTAGACTCCTATTTTGGACTTCTGTATTTTAGACATTTTACAGTAGAAAAGATGGATCTAGCTTTAACCTTTCTTCATCTTTTCACTGTAGCTATACCAGCGTTCAGTGTACACTATCTTGCCTCAGCCTCTGGAGTTTAAGTTTACGCGTGTGTGCCAGCATGGCTGCTCATGTGTGTATTACTCCGTGCAAGTCACACTAGTTATATAGAAACATGTTCCTTTGCACAACTTTTCGTTATCCTACAGTTAATAATTGCCTTTTTCCCAACTTACTTGCCCTGGTGGTTATGTTTTCTCAGCCTTTCCAGCAGATCCGCGTGATGCGTCTCTCTACCGTTGTCCACATGACAGACCCTTCCCTCAGCGGAGTCCTCCAGCCTAGAGTCCCCAGCTCTACCCCTTTGGCTGGGCTGCTCTTGCATCTGTTACCTAGGTGGCCCCAGGGCTGTTGCCGTCTTCCAGGCCTCCTTGGCCGCTTGCTGTGGATGCTGAGGTCCTGCAGGCCGTGTCTCCTTCTCATGGAGCAGTCTTGTTGCTTCCTGAATGGTTGATAAATTGAGGTTTTGGTATTCCTCGGAATACCTTTATTTTTTCTGTTGCTTTGACGGTTGTAGTATTTTGGGCTGAGAATCAGTTTTCCTTGAGAATGAGAACCCTGTGCCCTGTTGTGTAGGCTTCAGCCTGGTGGTGGGGAAGGCGTATGACCTGATGCTTTAACTTTTGTACTGGGTCTTGGTAGCTCTTAATTTGGAAATGTATATTTCCATTCTTGGTGTTTTCTCATATTTTTTTTTTCTAAATTCTTTGCTTTCCGTGCTTTTTTAAATTAGATGTTGGTCCTCCTGGATTGATTGCACATTACTATCTTTTTTTCTGGTAGTACGGTGGATTAGACTCAAGGGTGCGCTACCACTATGCTTCACCCTAGCTGTTTTTAATTTTTGAGACATGATCTCACCAAGTTGCCCAGGCTGGCCCTGAACTTGGGATCCTCCTGCCTCATTCTCGCAAGTAGCTGGGGTTACAAGCATGAGCTACTGTATGCAGCTTTTATTTCCTACTGTGCAGTTTTTTATCTACTGTTGTTTCAAGTTCCTGGGAGTGCACAGTGCTCCTCTTCTGTGTCCTTCTGCTTCATGCGTATGTGGCCCCTTCCTGAGTGTACTGTGACAGTTCGTGTGATGGCTTCTTCTAACTTTGTCTGTGCAATCTGGCCTCCTTGCTCTGTGTTCTCTGCTCTTTGTCCCTGCTGGGGACTGTGCATGTGAACTTAGACGCTAGGGAGCTTCTTGGAGTAGCCTGCAGTAGGGCTGTGCTTGGTGGGCTCTCTCAGTTCGTGGATGGGGTCTGCTTTCCCACTGTTAGACCTTTAGGTGTCTGCTGTAGATGTAGATCTTTTCCGCTTGGAGCAGTCATAAGCCCTAGGGGAAAATTCCTTACTCTTCTACTTGGAGGCAATAACTGGTACTGTGCTTATCCTGGGACCTTAGATTGGCAGGGGCTCCCAGCCAGGCTGGTCAGGAGGCTTGTCCTGCTCCCATTATTGTCTCCTGCCTGCTCTTGGCTGTGTGAACTCCTAGAGATTATCCTTCCTTGTCTTAACAGGTGGCAGGGTAGGAGAACTGCTGCTTGTGCTGCTCCGACCAATTGCCTGGGGCTGGGATAGGGCCCTGTGCAGCAGTGGTGTACCCCCACTGTCCTCCACTTTCACGCACATTTGTTGCCTCAGGAGCTTGGCCTCACTTGGTCCTATGACTTGAATGTGCTTAATTTTTCTGGAGACTTCATACCTTCCGCCTAGCTCCAGCAAGGAGCTGGGTTTGACCGTCTTCCTGTGGGCTGGGTCAGTCAGTGACCAATTCTTCCTTTCTACCTTCCTTTCTGTGGTCTGCTGGTGTCCTTGCCCTGTTCTTTGTGTCCTCTTAGCTGTATGCTTTCACAAGCCTCTTTGCTTGATTCTTGTGGGGTTTCTAGGTAGCAGAGGTTCAGGTTGGATCAGATGTCTCCTAACATGTGGCGCTGTTCTGTCTTCAGGATTACCCATCAAATATTCAGATCCCTGGTTTATTGCTTGATTTTTTCCCCCTGAGGAGGGCTTCTGTCTTCTAGGTCCACAGAGAGCCTATTTTTCAATTCTCTGTGTGTAAAACTGTCTAGTAGGTATTATTATTATTATTATT